CTCCCCGCGTGCCCGGCCGGCGCGGCTCTGTCGCCCGCTGTCCCCGATCCTCCCCCCACCCCAAGGCCCCAGCACGTGACCCTGGAGCCCCGCCGGTCACGTGACGCGGGCCCCGCTGCGGTTGGGGGGGGGAAGAGGGGAGTCCCCAGGGTGCCCCCAGCGCGGTCCCCGGGCACGTGACACTCTACCATTGCCTAGGAGGCCGCCGCTGGCATCACCGCTGTTCTCTCCCGGGCAGTCGGCTTCCTCCGAGAAGTCCGCCTGGATTGAAGGAGACAAGGTTCAATTCGGAGATAGTCATCACACATACTGGATTATGTTGAAATAAGTGTGGAACCTAATGATGTATAAACTGACCCAGCCAGCACTGCTGGCGGGATGGCGTTTTCTCCGGGTTGCGCCACCGATGAACTCTTAAATAGAAGGGCGGATGAGAGGGTCGTAGGAGGGGCGGTGAGGACCAGAGCTGTTGCTTCAGAGAGTCAATTGTTTTATAGCCAGGCGTTAATGCTGTTCTCCACCTCATCCACTCCCCCCCAACCCCCCTCCACACCTCCTTTCTTGGAGTCCTGAGAAAATTTAAATTGGTGAATGTGGAAAGAAAGATTTTGAGAAAGAAACTATCATGTAAATGCGAAATGTAGATTGACACCTTTGTTTAAAAAAGTTTTCAAGAATGAAATTATAAACCCTCCCTGTACTTTTTAGGATAAAAAGTTTTGTGTTTTCATCATTTGGGGGGGCGGGGGAATGGGGAAGTCATTCCAGAATATATGCTCTCCATCCAGCTTCATAAAACATCTGTTAAGAACGAAGTAATCCTCAAGACAAGGAAGGGTAAGTTCCACTTGGAACTTGAGTAGGCTGTGCTGTGTCTTCACTGAGCCCGAGACCCCAGGAGCTGTGCTAAGGCCCTTTGTTCTTCCACCTAGCCTACCCCCCACCACACCTCCTCTATCCCCTTGTAGTTTTACTGTGTATGCTTTTTCCAGTACCTGGGCTTTCTTGCAGTAAGGATTCCTGCTTAGGTGTTGTCATCCAAGCTGCTTGTTTACCACTGGAAAATACGGGCTTTTATTGGGTGCTCCTATGCTGGTTCCATTCATTGCTGGCTCTAACCTTAAGCAAAAGTAAACTCCTGCCTCTCTGTTAATTAACACTGGCTTGACACTCTACAAATATTAGCTAATAAGGGCTTCAAGTTCACCAGGGTCTACAAAAGGAAATATTCGGATTTAATGTTTTGAAGGTGTTACCAACAAAATTCAATCTGGGGTGAGAACTCCCTCTAAAGTTCATAAACCAATGACAACGGTTTCTTCTTACTCAATAGATTTTGTAGTTACTTTTTTTTTCCTCAAAAAGATTTATTTATTTAAGCATACAAGAACTGGGGTACAGAGTTCTTTGGGTGTTTTGGGGGGTTGGGGTAGGGAAATCATTCCATATTATATATTCTCCATCCAGCTTCGTAAAACATCTGTTTTACAAACCAGAGGTACGGGCTGTGTGTGTGTTGTATTCTAAGTGGTTGAAGTTACCTGCAGCCTAAGCTTTGAAGGAGAATTATTAGTTTGCAAATTTGAGATTGTAAATTATACTGGAGAAGTGTTGTAGGAGATAAGAGGGGACTCTGGAGAGCAGAAGCAGTTGAAGGCAGTGGCAACTTGAGCTGAGCTGGAACGAAGGGTGGAAATTGAGTAGGTTAAGGAAAAGTGGGCATTAGTTTGAGGATGGTGACAGTGCAGCTTACAGGACACCTGGATGATTAGCTGGATAGGACATAAAATACAGGGCCCTCCCTGTTGGTGCAGTAGCTTAAAGCGCAGCACTGTGAGGCTATCTGCAGCCACTGTAGCATGAGTTCGATCAGGCCAGGGAGGTGACCCATGTGGTGTGGCAGTCCTCTCCTGTCTCGCCTGCTGTTCCACTCAGCAGTATATTTCAGTAAATCTGCCTGTTCTGCTCCCCATTCTGTCTCTGGTAAAGCCTATCACACACACCCCCCCACACACACACACACCTCTGGCCTATACCCCAGTTCTTACATGCATGCATAAATAAACCTTTTTAAAAATAAAGTGATATTTCAGCTGAAGGCTTCAAATGATAAAATGAAGGTGTCTTTGATAGAACAGTACCACCTGCTAGATGCACCATATCATGGGGAGCATGCTGGGCTTGAGAATAGGAGGTTGAAATGTGTCCCCAGGTTCCAAACCTGTGTACCAGCTTGTGATCCTGGGCAAGTAACCTCCTCCAACGATAGAACCTTTCCTGCTACTGGCACTGTAGAAACTGGTTCGTATAAGCACCCTCTTTGAAAAAGGAAGTTATGAAATCAGAACTGTGAATCTCCCACACAGAATTCAAGAACAAATGAAGAAATCACTTGAACCCTAAAATATTTTTTTATTCAGTCACTGTGCTGTAAAATATCTTGTTCTGTGTTGTTTTAAATGTGCAAGCTTCTGAACTAAATGAAGAAATTTGGTTACATGAAAGGGAAGCCAAACTGCCTTTATTCTTAATGGCAGATTCTCAGTGATGTTTGCCTCCAACAAAAGGCAAAATGGAAAGGATTGTCTTAGTGTCAAGTTGGTTTATGACAGAACCTGCCTCCCCCCACCTACGTTGTGAATGAAATTAATTTATAACATATTTATTTGGATGTTGAAATTTGGAAAACACTTTAGATATAATGAAGACACAATCTGGGTAATGTAGTGATAATTCATAAACTGTGCTTATTGTTAATTGTCAGACAAAATGGGTATTAAAATCAAATCACTGCATTCAGAACTATTTTCTGCCATGAGCAGAGTTCTTTAGTGAACCAAATATAGCTAACTGCTTTCAAGTCACCAATGACCTGCATGTTACTGAATCCACTGGCCCATTATCCTGCGTGACTTGACACAGTCGTCACTCTGCCCTCCAGAAAATGCTTTCCGTACCTTGCTTCCAGGACACCATCCATCTTTAGTATTTGTCCCACTTCTCTATTGCTTCTTCTGAGTCCTTCGCTGTTTCCTCCTCTTTCCCAGGGCTCAGTCACTGAATACTTCTCCATCGTAATGGAGGGACTGCACAGGATGAGAGCCCCATTGCCACACATTCCTATCTCTGTTTAGCCTTTGCTTCATTTGAAAAATCTTGGATCTCCCAAGGTTGTGTTGACTGTTCTTCCATAAGGGTCTATAGAAACCTGACATGGAAATGGCCTATCATGAAACCAATTTTACTACTGGCTAATTGATTTAAACAAGAGTTAAGTTTCTATAGGATATTTCAGATCGCAAAGTCATCACCAAACTTCTAGAAATCTAAAGCACTTCTAGTATTTAGTGCTCATTTGTATTCATTCATTTTCGAATATGCTTTTTCCACTTCAAGGTGCAGGTGGCTGGAGCTTATAGAGGCAGCTCTGGGTACAAGGTGGCACCTCACCCTTATATAAGAGTGAACTCACACTGGGGCAACTGAACACATCAGTGAACATGTATGTCTTTGGGATGTGAGAAGACATCAGTTTCTGGAGAAAACCAGTGAAGAATTGGGAAGAACATGCAAACTCTTCACACTAAACTATGAGCTGCTTAACACAGCGTGGTATGACGAAACCAGCATTCAACAGCCTAACAGGTCTCCCTGAACCAGCCCTTATTGCTGAGTAAACCATATTCCATGGACATTACCATAGTTTGTTTAACCATTCACCCATTGAAAAATACCTGGGTTATTTCCAATTTGGGGCTATCAGAAATAAAACTGCTATGTATGTTTGTGTATAAATTTTCAAATACTCAGGAGTGCTGTTGCTGGACCCTATGGTAATTATATATATAGTTTTAGCAGAAACTGCCAAACTTTCTGTGACAGAATCATTTTACGTTTCCACAAGCAGAGTACGAAAAGTTCATTTTCTTGGCATTCTTATCAACACTTGGTCCTGTCTAGATTATTTTATTGTGGACATCCTATTAGGTATATAATAGTTTTCTCATTATGGTTTTACTTGTATTTCCTTAGTGACTGATCATTTTGAACATTGGTAGATAGATATATCCTTATACCTTACGCTAACATCCAAGACTTATGCCCATTTTCTAATTGAGGAAGTTTCTTTTCTGAGTTTTTAATCCTAATTTGGGTTCCAAGTTATGTTAAATGGTTGATAAGATCCTGTGAGTTTTCTTCTTTAGTTTGTTAATATTACTTACTGGTTTACTTATATTGAGTCAGTCCTGCATCTTTGAAATAAACTTTACTGGTCATGTTATAAGATTCTTTTTAGACAGTACTGGATTCAGTTTGTTAATGTTGAGGATATTTATCTGTAATTTTCCTTAAGATTTATCTTTATTCATTTATGCATATAAGAACTGGGTGTAGGCCAGAGGTGTGGGGGTGGGGTGAGAGGATTCACCAGAGACAGAGTGGGGAGCAGAACAAGCGGATCTACTGAAATACACTGCTGAGGGGAGCAGTGGGCAAGACAGGAGAGGTCTGCTGTGCCATGTGAGTCAGCCCCCTGGCTTGGGTCTGACTTACTCCTGTACCACCAGGGCTCCTCTTTTGTGTTTTCTAGTTTTGGCCTCATTAACATGGGAAATATTCCTATTAAGTTTTCTGAAAATTTTATAGACTTTCTGTTAATTTTTCTTTTGATAGAATTCAGTAAAACCATCTGGGCCTAGATAGTTCCTTTTAAATGAAAGGTTTTTTTTTTAACATTTTATTTATTTATGCATACAAGAACTGGGGTACAGACCAGAGGGGTGGGGGTGGGGGTGAGAGGATTCATCAGAGACAGAGTGGGGAGCAGAACAGGCAGATTGCCTTAAGTGTACTGCTGGAGGAGCAGAGGGCAGGACAGGCGAGGTCTGCTGTGCCATGTGGGTCACCTCCCTGGTCAGGGGTCAAACTTGTTCTGCTGTGGCTGCTGATAGCTTGGTAGTGCTGCACTTTAACCCGTTGTGCCAATGGGAAAGGCTGTAAATGAAGGTGGTTTTTTTTAACTGTGAATTTAGTAATATATTTGAAGAGCAGTGAACATATACTGAATCAGTGTTGTAAACTAATGTTACCTCAATTTAAAAAAATGAAGTGCCAAATATGAACCTAAAAAAAAACCCAAACCAACAATTATACACCCCAACTATGAATTTAATTACCTTACTGGTTACAGAACTATTCATGTTGGATGAGCAGTAGTTTGTAGTTTTTCTAAGAATTGGTCCATCTCACCTAAGTTGTCAAATTTATGTTAAATCTTTTGTATTTTCTTTATGTGTGAGAGTCTTTAGTGCTAGCTCTGCTTTAATTTCTGATAATCATAATTTGACTCTTATTTTCTTGATTTATCTTATCTTGCTAGGTTTTATTCACCAAAGAACCAGCTTTTGGTTTAAGTTTATTGTTTTTCTGTGTTCAACTTGATTGATTTTTTGTTATTATTTCCTTCCATTTTCTTACTTAGGTTTTATTTGTCTCTTTTTTATCTCTTCCTGGATGTGGGCTTTTAGCTTATATGCTTCCAGTCTCTTAGAAATACTCTTCAGTGACTCCAAAATACCCCTTGGTTCCCTGAAGAATTCTAATGAGTCCATTAGAAGTCAATTCAGTTGTCACTTCTAAGGAAAATAGGGTGATAGCTAGCCTTCCTCCTCACCCTCTCATCTTAAATGTAAGAATCTGAAGCTACTGGGAGAACTATAGTGTTTAAAAACGCTGGGAGGTTTTTATAGCCTCCAGCCAAATGGGGTCAAACTGCAGCCCAACCAACTAGGCTGGTGCAGGGACACAAGAATACCAGCTCTCATGTTAGCTTAGCAGTTTATAAGCCGAATTTCACCACACAAGCAATTATCCCCATTTGAGGATGGGGCAACTTAAGCAGCTCGAAGTCTCCAATGCAGGCCTAACTCATTTCCGAAGGGAACTCTCAAGAAGCTGCGTAAACTTGGTCAGAGAGCCCCTACCCAAGTAGCAGAAACGCCGACCCACTTGACCTTACGGAGCAACGAGCCGCAAGGCGCCGCCTTACCCTGCCCGCCAGGGGGTGCGCGTCCCTACTTTCCGATCCCGGGCTGCTGCCGAAGAGCTAGAAAGGGATGGTTGGAAGATATAGTGGGTCACGCTCCAGGGGAGCTGTCGAACTGGTCCTGGGGCTCATAGCTTGGGTCCCTGGGGTTCAGCCCGGCAAGAGACTAGGGAGAGAAAGGGGTCCCAGTGAAGTGGCACTGTCATTCGCTGAAGGCTCTGCCCCGCCACTCAACCCCCCCTGTCCTCCGTCTTTGGGCAACAGGGCCCTGGGGCGGGAAGTCCGCTCTGCCAACTCTGCCCACACCTCCTTTGACCAAAATGTGTTGGGGAGGCGGAAGCAGACTAGCCTTCAGGTCCCCTCGCGATCAGGTTCTGAACTCCCTGATAGCTTTGCAACACGCTCCCCGCCTCCAAACCCTGAAAGCACTTAGAAGAAACTTCCTTTGCACGCCGCTCCCCCGGAGGGCCTTTCTTCGGGCAGGGAATTATGACTGGCCAAGGAAGCTGAACCCCAGCCTTTTCCAGAGCTCCCCTCGCGTTTCGGTTTGTAACACACCCCCTGCCTCCCAGCCCCGCCTCGGAGGCGTACACGTGTAGATTCCGTCACCTCCGGAAGCCTCGCGTTACTAGGAAAAGCCTCGCGCGCTTGCGCGAGCACTCAGCAAAGGGGCGGGGAGAACGGAGGCCCGGAAGGCGATTCGTGGTTCGCGCGACCCTGGCCCGAGAGAGCAGCGCGCGTGCGCACTTCACTCTTCAGGAGCTGGGCGCCAATTGGGCGCCTGCAAAGCCGCGTTCCTGTAGCTAATCCTTTTCATTCTCTCTTTGTGGGAACTGGGGGTCGCGGACAGCGCCCTGTTTACGGGCCGGTCCGTGCACGGGGGTGGGCCGCTTTCGCGTGGAAGGGCAGGCACCGTGGGCCGCAGAGAGTAGGCGCAGGAGAGAAGGGGCCTGTGGAGGGGATCTTCGGTGGCTGTGAAGTGATGACTAGGATCTAGAACTGGGGCTGGCGGGAATGCGGGTGCCTAAGCGCGTGGGAAGGAGCTGAGGCTGACTGGGAAGAGGGGCGTCGAGTGCGCCGCCTGCCGGCTGCACCCTTCGGCAGAAAACGGGATAGGGGAGGAAGTGAAGCTTGTCAGTACTCTGATTTCGTCCCTTTCCCGGCACACAGCATGGCAGAAAACCGAGAGCCACGCGGGGCCGTGGAGGCTGACCTGGACCCTGTGGAGTACACACTTCGGAAGCGGCTTCCCCACCGCCTGCCCCGTAGGCCCAATGACATTTATGTCAACATGAAGACTGACTTTAAGGCCCAGCTGGCTCGCTGCCAGAAGCTGCTAGACGGAGGAGCACGGGGTCAGAACGCATGCACTGAGATCTATATTCACGGCTTGGGTCTCGCCATCAACCGTGCCATCAACATTGCCCTGCAGTTGCAGGCAGGCAGTTTCGGGTCCTTGCAGGTGGCTGCCAATACCTCCACGGTGGAACTTGTCGATGAGCTGGAGCCAGAGACTGATACAAGAGAGCCGCTGACCCGCATCCGCAACAACTCAGCCATCCACATCCGTGTCTTCAGGGTGACGCCCAAGTAATTAAAGTTGGACTGGCCAGCCAGCCAGCTTTAGCCATCTCTCCCCCCTCTTACCCCTTCCACACCTGAGGCTCAGAGGTGGTTCTCTTTGTACTGAGTACTATCAGGGACCTCTAGCTAGAGCCCTGTAAGGAAAAGCTCTGTCTCCTCAGCCAAAGGAATGGAGGGGGAGTTTTGTCTCCTGTCGGGCCCAAGCAGCAGGTCTTCCTGAATCTTTGTCATCTGTAACTTAATTTCCTTCATAATAAAGTGCTGTGTTGTATTAGTGTCTGGCCATCCCCTACCATTGCCTCTCTCCTGTATAAATTGTGGAAATGGAGTTTAGGAAACTCGACAAGTATTCAGGTACAGGAGGGGGATCCCAAGGGTTTCTTGCCTCCATTGAGAGCATGGCTTGGACTGCAGACAGTATAACATTAAGAACAAATTTTAGTACAATGCAGAAGCCTGATGATCCCAGTGTTTTCTTTTAAGATTTTTTTTTGTTCTCAGTAGCTTTCCTGTGACTATGCAGGGACCTTCTGTTCTTTCTCCTTATCCTAATAAAACTGTCCTTGTAAAATGTTTTTAGACTTTTTTGTTCTGTCAGAGGAAGGCTGGCTAGATAAGGTGCAACCTTACCTGCTGAGATGCAGTTATGTTGGTTATATGTATGCTTGGGAAGCATCAAGCTCTCAGGTGGTGGTTCCCAGGTTATGGGAAAGGTAAGGATTTAAGACCGGAGGAAGCAGAGAGTGGGTCCTCCTTTGTTTCAAGCTCCATGATGGGGACTGACAGGCTGCTTTGTTTCCTGGTCCTGTGGGTCCAAATTGTTTCCAGCAGCTGTGGGCCAGAGCCCTTTAGTCTCTTGCCTGGTTGTTCTAGTGGGGGAGGAAAGCATAACCTTCCCCGGAAGTGCTGGGCACACAGGTAATACCTACGTTAGTGTTTGGATATTTGTGGGATGATCTGATTTCTCATGTTTATCAAACGAGTCACCTAAGGCAATGTTTATCAAAATCGGTAGCAACCCATTTGTGGAGCTTAAAATCAATGTAGCAGGTCATAGCCTTTTAAAAGGTAAGTGAAAAAAGTGCAATTTAAATGTTAACATTTTGTTGACGCTTTTTCAGTTACAGATGTGTATATCTACTCATGCACTGGTTATGATGTAAGTTTTTTAGTGTTGGTTCAGGAATGAAGTTTGAAAGCCTCTGATCTAAAGGTTAGTAAGAGAATTTTGCTCTAGTTCACTTGAAGGGGGTTGATTTGGGTTTTTGAAAACCAGGCTCCTCACTGATTAAAATCCCTTCCTCTTGTTTGAATATTTCTACCTGTAAGGGATTCTAGTGCTGGGTGAGTGGCTGCCAGCAAGTCAGGAAAGCAGACTTCTGACAGGATGAGCACCTCATTCAAACAGCCAAAAACATGCTTAGTTCCTGTTCTGAACCAGGACCCGGCTGGGATGAGATACAAGGATAGGAATAAAGTGGTTCCCATAGTCAAGGAGCTCATCATTGAATTGGGAAAGTGGATACACAGATCTTTGTGGATAAGTAAAATATGCTATGTAAGAAGTAAGAATCTCCATGATACAGAAATGTGAATTTGGAGACAGCTAAGTTCTGATGAGTCCAAAATGGTTTCACCTTTGAAGTGGATTTTGAAGGACGCATTGGATTTTGCCAGGCAGAAAAGAGGGGAGAGGGCTTATCTGGCAGAGGGATCAGAATGCACAAAGGGGGTTCATGAACAGGCAGGGCATCACTCTGGGTTGCACCAAGGCAGGAGGTGTTGAGAAGATCTGAGGGGGATAAAACCCAGAGACAATTCTATCCAACACCCCCACCTGCTTCCCTATGAGCCTTGATTGCAAAGGTCTTTTGCCTAGGAGCCCCCTCGGAGTGGAGTGGGCTGTGTCAGGGAGCTGGATGGAACTATGTGTCTCCCCGCACGTATGTGTTCTTGTGTCTGTGCTCCTGGCCTGGGCCCAACTGAGGTGGTGGCAGGCAGCCCTTTTGCGTTTCGTTTGTTTTGGCAGCTACCTCTCCCGGCCTATTTGTTTGTTGTTTCTACTCCATGTTCTCTTACTGCTTGCCAGTGGGGCTTCCCTCAGTGACAGGTCTGCAGAAACAGCCCCTAGACTTGCCACTGAAGAAAGAGGGCATAGGGCGGCAGAGGGCCTGGAGAAAGTCATCTATTAGAGTCCATGCCTGCTGGGCAGGGCACGGAACTCCACCTCCCTCCTACAGGGAGGCCAAGCAGGCTTCTGTTCCCTTTCTTCCTACTGGCTCTCAAGTGTCTTCCATCAAAGCTTGGGGGCTGCAGGCAGAAGGTATAACCAGATGCACTTGCCCTCTTTTAATAGCTTCAGAGCCCCACAGTGAGTGTGCAATAAGTCCCTACTTCAAAAACACACCCGGAATTCAAGCACTGTTCATGAAGGATGGTATAGACATTTGCTTATCATCTATAGCATTATTAAGCATCAGCTAGTTGTTGGAATCTGGGTTAGGCAGTAGTCCTATTTGAAGAAGCATAAACCATTGTTTCTGCAAAGTGATAGGAAGAATTACAGATAGGTCTAAAAAATAAAAAAAATTGCATAGGCCTGGAACAGCCCTGCTCAATTAATTATAAGGGCTTATGATTGTTAGTGTGAATCATTTTGCCAAGAAGTAGTTTTGCATCCTCTTAATGGGGATGGACAAAGGGGTTGAAGGTGGGTCTTATTCTCATGCAAGGTTATTAGTTTTGTAGCACTTACATGGCAGGGAGAAGGCAAATCCTCAGGACCTGTGCACTGGTTTGAATGGGCTGATCCTCCTCCGAGGAGGACCCATGCTGTCCCAGCTGAGTTTCTGGTGCTGGATCAGAAGGTGGGGAAGAACAGCACATCCCACAGTCCCTTGAGCCTCTGGAGAAGTTAGACTCGAATTCTGTATTGAATATGGATCTTCAAGGAACAGAAGTCCAAATACACAGAGAGCGAGGGTGAGGCAAAGCTGGTCCTACCAGGAAGGACGTCTGTGAAAATGACCATGAAGATGCTCTTCCTAAGGCACCTTACAGGTGCTTTTAATTGGTGTGTTTTGATTAGGCTGTGTTTTCCAACTTTCCAAATGTTCACATAATTTTAAAATAAGAAAAAAGCTAATTTTTTAATAGAGCCTCTTCCTGATGGATCCTTTGTTCTCCAGGGAGTGACCAGAGGAGTTGGTCACCAAACTGATGAAGTAACCTCAACAAGAAGTACTTTAATTGCCCAATCCAGGAACTGATAAATCACTGGTGAATGAATGAATGGCCACGTGGGTTTAAGGAGAAAGTTTGTGTCCGGTCTGTGGCCTGCCTCTGCTCCCTTGACAAACACCAAATGTCTTGCCACCAGTGGTATGTCACCTCTCAGGACCTCCTAGGTCACTTCCAACTCAGAATATATGAATCTTGTTTGCTGCAAAAAAAAAAAAAGATATACTTTATGAAGGTACTAAAGTTATTTGCTGGTTTAGACATGAGCAGCAGAAGGACCTGCTTCTATACAGATCAGGGGTGCCCATGAGGTAAGCAACAGGTTCTCAGTGAACCATGAACAATTAAGGAAACTTTGCTAATTTGGATGTTCACAAATATGTCTAAGGCTGGTATAAGCTTCCCTTGAGTAGGTCTTAGCCTGTATTCTTCCCAGTAGGACTGCCCAATAGAGTTTCTACAAAATAAGTCACTGACCCCATGTTAACAAAACGACCTTGTATTCAAAACTGCACACCTGCAAAACCCTTGTTTGGGAGAAAAACATCACCATCATTGATGTTTTGTCTTGATTAGCATACCCTGATTTTATTTTTATTTGCACAGGAAAGCCACTCTGGTGGGTGATACAGGATGGGTGATGGAGTGACCTGGGAAAAGGATGAACATCCAGCAACAATTTTGAGCTAGACAACCTAGGATGTGGATCAACATTTTTCACAGAAACCTAATTGGAGAGAGTTGTTCTGGAGCTGAACAGAGGTACTGGTGCCCTGGAAGTCCTTCCTCAGTGACTCAAGCATCTGGGGGACTCAAGAGAGAAGTAACCAAGGAAGGGGATTCTGAACAGCTAGTAGGGGATGGGCCTACAGGTCTCATTTGGCCCAGGATCTTTGGGGCTTCTCCCCAGGAGGATACACAACGGGGCAAGAAATCTCTGGTTAGCCCCAGGCTTTCAATAAACTCAGTTTGAGACTGGTCTTGATACCTGCTCCTTAACGCACCCTGAGCCCCTGCAGTGACACCACTTCACTCGGTGGTGTTCAGAGAGAAGTTTCTCTAGTGTCAGTCAAAGGTATACATCAGAGAGCCCTCCCATACCCTGCTCTTCTGCTGACTTGCTGCAGTGAGTTTCTTGGCAGGGCAGCTACCAAGAACATAGAGAAAACAGATAAGGTGCCTTGAATCCAGATGCCTGAAGGGACAGTGGAGGGTGCTGTGTTCCTGGGGGAGTTGCTCACCCGGCCTCCAGAATGGCTACAAGTCTGGGAATAATAAAGCAGAGAGTGTAGTACTAACAGCACCTATTGATTAATAAGTGTCAGGCGTTACTTAAGCACATGACAACCCTGGGAAGCAATTACTGTCATTATCACCATCCCCATTCTATAGGAATGAGACTTGGGTGTGGGAGGGTAGGGGATGTATGTGTGAGAAGACTCCCCAGAGACAGAGTGGGGAGCAGAACAAGCAACTGACTGAAATACACTGCTGAGGGGAGCAGCAGGTGAGACAGGAGAGGTCTGCTGCGCCCTGTGGGTCAGCTCCAATAGCTTCATAGTGCTGAGACTTAATCCCTTGAGCCACCAGGGAGGCCCCTGGCAACCCTTTTAAACCTCTGGACCACAGAGCTGCTGGCTGAGGGCAGAAACCTTCATATCTGCTTCTCCTGGCTACTTTGTGGCCATGAAAGCAGTCTTTGCCTCAGTTTCTCCAAAACCACCTTTACCTTTGCACAGGATCTTCTTTGATTCTCTTTCAGGAATCCCTTCTCTAGCTTTCTTGCTCCCTTCCCAGCTCCCCAAGGGCCAGGAAGCCCTCCCCCCACTGCACCCTCCTCACCTCCTCCATTTCACTTCCCAGCACAGAAGGTCTTCTGGGCCACTGGCTGAACTCTGGAGCCAACAAGCCGTTGCTTGGAAATGTGGCGGGAGAAGAGGAGGGAGGAAAGGCCCAGGGTCCCGGTCCACAGCTCACACTAGCAGCTGGGTTTCGTGTTGCCTGGGGTCTGGGACAGCTCAGGAGGGCTATAAATTTGCTTCTTCTTGGATTTTCAAGCTGAGTTGGCTGCCAGGAAGACGTTGTGGAACAGTCTCCCTCCACCCCGCCCCACCCCAGTCCCCTTTGCAGACACTGCCTCAGTGGCCGCCTGCTCAGGAAGTACATGGAGGCCTCTTAAGCCCCCCAAACCCCAGAGTTAGGTGGTCAGGCAGGGTTCCAGCAAGCACTGGAAGGCTGGGGCTTCTATTTCTACCCTCCAGGCCTCTCATTCTCTGGCTGAAGGTCTGGAGTGGAGGGGCCATTCCATTCCAACTTGACACAGCATCTTATCAGAGGCCTAGGCCTGGCCTTCAAGAAAGGAAGAGGGGTGGGCCAGGAGCACAGTCTCTGGATAAGGAGCCTGCGGGACAGGGCTGATGCTGGCTTACCCTGGGGGGCTGCTGGGGAGAACTACAACTGCCACACACAAATGAATGGCCACAAGCAGGTGACAAGCTGGGTGGTTCACCAAGGTGAAGAAGACCTCTTCTCTCAGGTACTGCATGACCCCACAGAGGACCACCAGAGTTGACATGACTGGCGCCCCCTGGAGTTGTGCAGTGCTCCACCTTGAGAAGTCGGGCATGGTGGCCCCTTCAGCAAGAATCCTAGCTGTGTACCTCAGTGATGGCAGTGCGGAGGAAGGAGAAAACTTCCCAGCAGGGGGCGAGGGAGGGCTTCATGGAGGAGATAATGCTTGGGTTTGAGCTTTGAGGAACAGGGGCAGGGGGATGCTGGGGAGGGGCTCCAGGTGGGAGGCACAGAATGAACAATGGGCAGGAAGCTGCAAGCCAGCCACCTGAGCTTGTGTGAGAGTGGGGTGCACAAGTGGGAGGGCGTGTTGGAAAGGGGAGCAGATGGCAGGACACTGAGGGTCTTGGCTCCGTGGCCACTGCAGGGCCTGCTCAGAGAGGTGGCCTGGATGAGGCTAGTTATGGCAGCGGTGATCCAGCGGCAGGGCTGGGGTTAGCCATAGGGGATGACAAGGAGAACCTTGCAGTGGTCCCGGCACTGGATCGGCACCAGGCCGGAGGCACACGGTCAGGCAGGTGGAGGGGTAGCAGCGCCGTGGGGTGAGTTGGGAGGGAGAGTCCCAGGTAGCTTCCTTTTTTCTTCCTCTTCTCAGGGTCCCCAGTTGTCAAGGACTGATGGCTGGCCCCTGCTGGACAGTATCCCAGAGCACCTGGGTTGAAGATGGACCCCAAAGCAGTCTCTGTCTCCTTAGCAAGAGGACCACAGCTCAGGGATCACATGGGTGGGCCTTCCCTCTGCCCTCTCCAAATCTGAACTGTAGTTCTCTCCACCAGCCCCAGAGGATAAGCCAGCGTCAGGCCTGCCCCTCAGGCCCCTGATCCAGAGACTGGTGCACGTGGCCCACCTCCTTCCCTAGCTTGAAGGCTCTGTCTAGGTCTCTGACAAGTTGCTGTAAGGGGAGGAGCAGCTCTCACAGCCCCACGGGCCCCTCCTCTTCTCCCTCTTGTCAAGCTGTGTCACCCCCCCCCATATGCTCTGGCTCTGGCCCCCTCTCCATGGCCAGGTCAGGGCAGTGACGCAGGAGTCAGGGAACCGGGAGGCAGATCCTGGGGGGTTGAGGGGTGGGGACAGACTGTATGTGCGGACGTGTGTGGACGTGAGTGTGCGTGCGCTTGTCCCACAGCTGGGATCTGGGAAGAGAGCAGAACCCGGCTCTGACGGCCAAGCAGAGCTGGGAGGCTGCCTGGATGCTGAGAGGGAAAGTGGACCAGAGGGCATAATGGGGCGTGCGGACGGGCAGCCAGCACCAGGTTTGGGGAGCGCCCAGAACGGGCTGGAGTCTCAGCGAGCCAGAACCTCATTACTTCATTCGGAAGCCTACCAGCCTATCTGCCTGTCCCTCTCAGTCATCTTTCTGAACCCCTCTTTTATTCTCAGCCCCTTCAAGTCACCTTTCAGCACTCCTGAGGGTCTCATGCAGAATGGCAACCTCTCCCAACACTGCTGATCCCCAAAAAGTCAGGGTCTTTTTTCCTTTGACTGTTGGAGATCCTCTCTGTGATTCATTTTGTGCTTGTCTGCCTCGTCACTGAAATATCAACTCCCCAGGATAGGCATTCGTACCTGTTTCAGTAGCTGCTCTATCCCCAGGTATTCCCTGAATACCATCTGAGGAGATGAATGAATGAACAAATGACTGACTGACTGAATGAATGTTTCCCACTTTTCCCAAAGAAATCCCACATTCTTCAAAGTGGCACTCAAGAAATTTTACGTGACCCTTCCCTGAGTAGGACTCTAGCCAGAATTCCACCTCTGTCTTCTGCACTTTCTGCCCCTACACCCAGACCTTCCATTAATTTTGCTGAATCAGTTTCATTATCTCCACTCCCCACCCATCTCTTTCTACTGAAATCTTACCAATCTTTCAAGGTTGAGTTCATTGTCACCTCCTCTGTCATATCGTCTTTGATTTCCCACAGTTAGAGGTGGGCTCTTGCTCTTACAGCCTCTACCAGCCCAGTCTTCACATGCTGCGCTGGTGCCCATCTTTATTTATAAGCAACAGGCTCCTGGAGGAGGGAGCTAAGTCTCCATGCATCTTTTGTGTAGCAAAAAGACATGTAGTTCAGTATCTTGCTCAAAGGCAGTGCATGCATGATAATAAAATCTATTATCATGGATTTGGTAGGGAAGACCTATCACTGCCTGAATTGTAGGACTTCCTGTCTTTTATGATGGCGGGTATGTCCATCACACCCATTTGATAGATGAAACACTGAGGCTCGGGGCAGAGGTCACATTCCAAGCTTTGAGAGGCTAGCTGGCCTTGGACTTCTGCTCCAGAAAGCTTGCCTTCCTCCCCTCCCAGCCCCCCTAGCCCAAGTCAGGGCTTCCAAGGAGCCACAGACTGAAATGCAGCAAACTGAAATGCCATCACTCCTGGGGGGAGCTTTATCTCAGAGCGCTTAGGAGTTATGCCACACAGACTAGCTTACATCACAAGTCAGAAAAACAAGTGTCAAAGTGCATCCATACCAAGCACCATACCATGTGCTCTGTGACCTAAAAGTGTTGAGGGTTGTAGAAGGTGAGGAGAAAGGGGAGCGGGGCCCCGACTCCTTGTTCCTTATGCTTCCTTCACACACAGCATTGGTTGCTAGAGCATGTACTGTGTCTGGGAGGAGGAGGAGGACAACTAACTTGCCCCTACCAGCACCTTCACAGTGTCCACACCCGGCTGCCTCCCAGGAACCTAGGCTGAGTCTCAGCCCAAGACTGGGACGTCCCGAGGGGAGGCAGGGGCCCAGGCTCTCCCAGGTCCAGGCATTCTGTCTACCCCCACCCGCCCGCCAGCTGCACCTCCTGGGACCGCGGTCTGGCGGGCAGACCTGTGCGGCGCCGTGCCTGCAGGCTCTGCTCCCACCACACAGTCGCAGACCCCGGTGTCCTGCCCCCTGCTCTGACCCCTCTGGCCCCCACCTCCTGCGACCCCTCACGCACACAGCTTCCCCCCACCCCCACACACGCACGCACACAGGCTGATAACAGCCCCGACCCCCGGCCAGAGCCGCAGTCCGGGGCCAACCCCCGCCGGTCACCTCGCCTCCCAGTGCTCCGGACCCTGGCCAGGGGCACTGTGTTCTCTACCCGACCCCTCGCTCTGTAGCCGCTGGACAGAGGGGCTGGCCCTGCCCTGCCGAACTTCCCAGGATGAGGGCTCCTTGCGCGGGCGTTGGAGCCCCAGGTCGTTGAGGGGCAGGCGAGGTGCAGAGATGGGGGTGCGCAGTGAGTACTCGCAGGCTGGGGGAGCTCCCGCTGGCCAGGGCCCCTGTTTGTGGAGGGATTTACGCTGGGGCTATTGGCCCATAGGTGGCTGGGTTCAAGGACCCACGACTTGCCAAGGACCCCGGAAGGACAAGGGGGGTGGGGCAGCCTCCACGTGCTGGCAGGGTTTGGGGAGTCCCTCTGAAAGGCAAGACTCTCACCTGGAGGCGGGTACAAGGTCTGGGGGTCAGGGAAAAGAGGAGCTGCCATGTGGGTGGGGTGGAAGCTGATACCTGGCTCTTGGAGAGACAATCCAGATCTGGAGCAGGGAAGCCTCTGTCTGTCGCATGGGGATTGAAGTTTGGCCCCGGAGAAGTGGATGCCGGTAGTTGGGGGGTGGGGTGTTCGCCTGCAGCTGGTTTGAATGAAGGCACTGGAGACTGAGCCTAGGCTCTCAGAAGGTTGGGGCTGGGAAGGACTAGCTGGGGGCAGAGGAGTGAGGAGCCTGAGGTGTGAACTGCTTCTCTAAGCTGATCCTTCTCTCTTGCCTGTCTCAGGCTCAGCCTGGCTCTGTTTTCTAGAATGTCCTGCCCTGCTGCTTCTGCTGTCCTTATTACTGCATTCTCTGGGCCTCCCAGTCCTGGGTGCCCCCCAACGTCTCATATGTGACAGCCGAGTCCTGGAGAGGTACATCCTGGAGGCCAAGGAGGCAGAAAATGTCACGGTGAGGCCCCTCCCTGGGGTATTCCACAGAACTCTTGCAGAGGTCTCTTCTAGGATCCAGGAGTGTGGACTCCTTACTGGCAGTTGGTTCCAGGGTAAAGGTAGAAAGCCAGAGGCCCCAATAAAAATGACAAAACTGGTAGCCCCCAAAGCATACTTGGCAGCTAGATACAGGACAAAGGTGGAAGGTGCATTGGGCTGGGGCTGAGCTGGAAACCCCCCCTACCCCCTGGAAGCCCTGACTCCAAATTTTGCATTTCAGATGGGCTGTGCTGAAGGCTGCACCTTCAGTGAGAACCTCACTGTCCCCGACACCAAGGTTAACTTCTATTCCTGGAAGAAGATGGAGGTGAGTTTATTTTTCCCTTTTTGGGGGAGTCTCATTTTGAGAACCTGATAAGGCAGAAGGGAAACGGAAAGAGAGAGAGAGAATGGAGCAGCAAAGATGCTAAAGGAATACGTTCATTCATTCATTCCATTCAACAAAGCTTACTGCAGGCCTTCTGTTTGCTTAGCCTGTGACTTGGCCTAGTTGATTCTAAGTCTCTGCTTCCTTTAGATTGAACAGCAAGCTGGGGAAGTCTGGCAGGGCCTGGCCCTACTCTCAGAAGCTGTCCTTCGGGGCCAGACCCTGTTGGCCAACTCCTCCCAACTGCCTGAGTCGCTGCAGCTACATGTGGACAGAGCCATCAGCAGCCTGCGCAGCCTCAACTCCCTGCTTCGGGCACTGGGGACCCAGGTGAGTAGGACGCTGTTCACTTTTCTGTTGGTCCTCGCTGTAAAATGGGGAGGAGGGGTCTGCTGGAAATACTGCAGCTCCCTCCTGCCCCTCCATTTCTGTCCTGAGTCCCTCCCTGGTCCCTGGCACTAAAGTAACCTTGTGCTTCCTCTTTGGCAGAAGGAAACTGTCTCCCTTCCAGAGGCAGCTTCTGCTGTTCCACTCCGAACATTCACTGTTGATACTTTATGCAAGCTCTTCCGAATCTACTCCAATTTTCTCCGGGGAAAGCTGAAGTTGTACACGGGAGAAGCCTGCAGGAGAGGGGACAGGTGACCTGGTGCTCCTGCCCTGGGCACATCCACCACTGCGCTCACCACCACTGCCTGTGCCACGCCTTCTGCATCACCACTCCTGACCCCTTTTGAGGGACCATCAGCTCAGCGCAACCTGTCCCATGGACACTCCAGAGCCAGTGGTGACATCCCAGGGGCCAGAGGAACTGTTCAGACCTCAACTCAGATCAAAGGATGTCACAGGGCCAGCCTGAGGCTCGATGCAGGAGCAATTCACAGAGCGCCTTAAACTTGGGGACAGCACTGTGCTGGGGAGACACCGAAAGTCACCTCAGTGTCCTGCAGAACCATGATGCCAGGACCAGCTTCGGAGGGCAAACGGCTCTTTTTTGCCCCTACCAAGCAGGGACAGAATGGCCTGGAGATCTTGGGTGGCAAGCTGTGAATTCTCCAGGTCTCTTGGGGACTCCCAGGCCAGCAAGAGCCCACTGGACACGGAAGGTGGGGGGAGCCGTGAAGCTGGGATGGGGGCTGGCCCCTGGCTCTCCTGGGATCCAAGATTTATGTATTTTCCAATCTCACTGGCAAGAACTAAAACCACAACATGACTCTTGGCTTTTCTGTTATTCCGGAAGCCCGGTACTTCCCTGGCTCTGCCCCATGCTGGCAGCAGACAGCAGGTAGGGGAAACCAGAGGTGAAGGGGGCTGGGCCCTACGTGCTGCCTTCCATGGCCTCTCTGACCTCTTGACCCCACTGGGCCTGAGGCCACAAGCTCTGCCCACGCTGGTCAATATGGTGGCTCCATTCAAGGCTAATTCTCAGTAGGCAGCTGCCAACCCACCGGGCCAAGTGTTTAGTGAGCTGAGGCTGCCCCTGAGGAAACAGGAGCCAGGAAAAGGGCCTCTAGCCATTAAAACAGCTTATTTTCCACCTCTTCTCTCTGGTGCCTTTGCCTATTGCCACATTCTCAGTGTCAGCTTTGGCCACTGCAGTGCATCCCCTCGCGCCCCCCCCCCCACCTTTCCTTGCCTGGGGCTGGTCACCTCAACTGTCAGAAAGGGCAGCAGAGAGCACAGTGGCAGCCTCTTCCCAGACAGCCGTGCCACTGGGCGCTGGGCTGTCCAGCACTGCTGTAGGTAGCTCCATTCTGTGACTTCGTTTCACGCCTCACACAGCCTGATGAGGGAGTCTCTGCTGTCACTCCCATTGAACAGGTGAAGAAGTCAAGTCACTTGGCCAAGGCCGAGACCAGGAGCTCCCAGTTCCCCCCTCCCTCTTCTGCTTGGTCTTTCCACATAATCCCTACTCCTCTGAGTGGGGGAGGACATAGAAAGAATGAACGAAACGTCCACTTTTGATCCCTATGTCTCAGTTTACCCTTTACTCTGAAAATTGATGTCAGGTTCACTTCCCAGAAATGATGATTCCACCGCAAAGTGCTGGCTGAGAGAGACCCCTGCAGTGTGGGACTCCTGATGCTGACCATTGTCTGATGTGTCCCTGCAAATATGCAAAAGGGAATATGTTTTGCAGTCTGCAGTAAGAAAAATTACCGGCGGCTGGAGAGTATTTCCCGAGTACAATTGTGTGAGGGGCTCCGGGGAAGACGTGCAGAGGAGTCAGCTACAGGGCAACCCCAGGGAAGGATTTCACTTCCGTCCTCCAGGCTCCTGGGCTACAGCGCCCCCTTCAGATTCTGCTGGGAAATGCTAGAGAAACTTGAAAGTAAGCTGATCTCTTACGTTTCAATAAATATTGTGGGCTGCGCTCCACTGAGCTGGATCTAATGCCACCGCTGTGATTCAGTAAAGGGCGGGGGAGCTCTTCACACCAGTGACATTGGAACCAAGACACCTGTCCTGAAGCCAAAGGGAGCCAGCTGAAAAAGCTGAAACTGAAAATGAGATCCAGGACGCATAACCGCGCAGGCTCATCCTCCTCTCAGCCAATTTGCTGCCAAGATATTCCTTGACCCTGTACCTGGCTTCTTTTCCCCCAGATTCAGGGCCACTGACCTTATTCCTCGACCTCTCTTCAGATTTCTTACTGCTTCTAATTTAAAAAAAAGTAATTATGGAATCCGAACTGTATAAACTAGAGCAGGTGTTAGATATATTTAAAATAGAATTCATCTCTTCCACAGTTATGGGAAGTGTGTCCCATAATTGTGGACACTACTGTGTGTCTTCCTTTGCACTGCTATTGGGAAATGTGACATGCACTACTATTAAAACATGTTTAAAAACGTGTTTTAAAAAGATGGGGGCTCATTCATTTAGACTTAGCTTGCGATGTTATTGAGAACAGGTTGGGGGGCATGGAAGGACCTGGTGAGGCCAGAGTCCCAGCAAAGGACACAGACACTCAAGGAGGGTGGCGCCAGACTGCAGACATTCTTCAAGTGGGGACCAGGAGCGCGAACTTGCTTCTGTGCTGATATAGTTGTGATTAGTAATGCAGTAAATCTCTGGCACCTACGTGGTGGTGAGCTGTGATTCTCCCCACAACGCCATGAAGCAAAAGGATGATAGGAAGCATCCTCACAAATCCTGCCAGTAGATGACAGAGCCAGCTCTTCTGACGCCGGGCAGGACAGCAGCCAGCGCAGCTCATAGTAGAGTTAACTCTACTATGGTAGGCTCGTAGTAGTTTAAAGGGATGCCTTCTGTTTGTAGGGCACTTTTTGACTTACAAGGTGCTTTCCGGGGTGCTCTCTCATTTGCTCTCCTAACCCCCTGAAGAAGGCTGAGTAGGTAGAGGATCCATTGTGCAGGGGAGGAAACCTGGGTCCAGAGAGAGATGATGGGCCTTGTCCAGGTCAGGGGATATGAAGAGAAAGGGTCAGGCCAGAGGCAGGCTGAGTCTGGTTCCCCTCTACTTGAAGCACCAGTCATCACAGGGGATGATGGGGGGGGGGGAGAATGGCCTGTGGGGAGGACAAGCCATGTTCAGGGGGCATTAGGTCTTCCCACTTTGCTCTACCAAGTCATTCCTGGCTCCCAATTCCTCCCTGGACCAGCACAAAGTGCCTGCCACTCTCCCCACCACCCCACACTCCCCAGACTCAGGGCCTACCGAGCTACTGCTGTAGTCCCAGCTCCCACCGTGACTGTAGCTGGGTGGCCATGGCCATGGCTACTGATAGCCCCAGTATCTGCCAGGCCTGAGCATCAGGCTACCTGACTCCAGCTCACAGGCTGCCAGGGGTTTTCCGGAACAACTCAGTCTGTTGCTTTCACCACAGCAGACACTTAGTGCTGTATTTGGTCAAGGTTAACTCCACTAAAATCCCATCATTTTAGTAAACAACCTTTGACAACAGAAGAAAAGCAGCATGGCTCTGTAACGGACAAGTGATTATTAAGAAAATTATGTGAACCCCACACAGTTTCTGAGGTAAAAAACCTTAACTGTGCTGGTCTCTTCTCTCCATCTTATAGGTGAGGAAACCTAGGCCCAGAGAGGGTAAGCAAAGTGTCCAAGGACACACAGTGGAGCTAGGACTGTCATTAGTTCTCTGGGCAGTCCCCAGTTCTTCTCGCACCATCTCCTATAGCTGCCTGTTGTCAAATGGCAAACCCTCTGGGGCCTTACCCATTCTCAACTCCCCAAAATGCAGGGCCAGGTGGTTCCCTTCCTCCCCCCCCCCATCCCTTCTTGTCCCGCCTTGAAATCTCAGTCTTTACCCCAGGCCGGCTGGAAGCTGCCACTGTCCAGTGCAGTGGGCCAAAGGGAGGTCAGCTGAAGCAGCCCTCAGAGGCTTATTGCCCAACCACCAGGGCCTATGGCTCAACGGGCTTCTGCCTCCTCCTCCCCGGTTAACCATTTCTGGGCCCCATCCTGCTGACTGCTTGGCTAGCCAGCTATGGAGCACGGCTGGGTCAAGTTTAGGTTGTCATTCTTCACAACTCCGGTTTGACCTCAGGAGGCAGCCACTCTCCCCTTCCAGGTCTGACCCCTGAGCAGACCCTGTCGGTGTCCATCTGGGCAGGAGGCCCCAGGGCAAAGGGGTTTTTGAACTCGGATGACTCTTGGACACCTGGTGCATGATGCTGCAGGCACCTCCCTGACGGCTCGGAGAATGGCCAGCCCAGGCATCACTGTCACTTGTCAGGGGCAAAGGTCAGTGTCTAGGCAGAGATTCGATAGCAGGGGGTGGTTTCTAGGACCCTGGGTTGGCAGGATACAGGAAATCAGGGTTCTCAATAGCTCAGTTCACTTGGGGCCCAGTCCCCCGGCCTGGGTGCCACCCTGTGTGTTCACTGAGAGTCGGCAGTTGCCTTTTATTATATTATTATATATAATAACACTATATTATATTACTATAAATTTATTATGTTATATTTATTAAAAATGAACCTTTTGCTAAAATATTGTGAAACCAATGAAAGCAGAGCTGCTCTGGGTGGGATGGGATGGCCCCAACAGTCCCCCAAGAACTGTGGGACCAGGCTGTCAGCACCATGCCGTATGCTACGCAATTGACTTCTTTTCTCAGGAGGTCGGTTTCCAGATCACGTGGAAGATAAGAACAATATCTTTGCTATGAAAAGGACACAAGATCTTGGCCCTCCCTGGTGGCGCAGTCGGTTAAACACAGCACTGAGAAGCTTAAGCCACTTCCGCATGAGTTTGATCCCCGCCTGCCCCGGAGGAGATCCACATGGCGCGGCAGACCTCTCCTGCCCGCCCGCTGCTCCCCTCAGCAGTGTACTTCCTCAGTCGGCCTGTTCTGCTCCCCACTCTGTCCCTGGTGAATCCTCTCACCACCCCTGCACCTTTGGCCTGTACCCCAGTTCTGTATGCACAAATAAATAAGTCTTTAAAGAAAAAAGAAAAGAAAAGGACATAAGATCCAGTTAGGTTTGCCTGTAAGAACTGCAGTGTCCAGCTCCTGGAAGTATCTTTACATCCCACTGCCACTGCCCCTATGTTAGCATCCATTGACATTACCTTCCCTCACCCTCCTGATCTCCTACCTTGAGCTCACCTTTTGTTCTGCTCATCCTACCCCCTCCAAAGCAGCACATGGAATCAAGTCATCACCATTGCTTAAAAACTTGTGGTGGCTCCTGAAAGCTATGGTACACACACACACACACACACACACAGACACACACTCACACACACACACTCACACACACCCATACATGCACTCACGCTTGCCGTTCTCCAGTAATGGCATGCTTTCCCACAGAATGCCTTTCAGAACCAGCTCCTCTGTCTCCCAAGTGTCACGTCACTTGGGTGGGCGGCTCCTTCCATATACTCCCACAAAGTTCATCGTGTCTATCTGACACTCATCTGTTGGCCTACAGAAGAATACAGGTTGGACGCAGCCTTGACACAGTCGTGAAATGTGGTGCAGGTAGGAGTGGAGGCAGGGGTGGGTTGAGGTGCTGGGGACGCCTGCCGGAAGCCCACATGGGAGCTGAGCTGTGTGGCCCTGTTCTCTCTGTGCTGCCTCTGCCCATGAGCACGCACACAGGCTCAAATTCTCTTATCTTGAGAGGACCCCACCAGCTCCCAGTTACAACCCTTCCTCTCCACGTCTCATCAACAACCAGAAACTCTAAAACATTGTCCCATCAGCCCGGACTGCCTTCTCCAGTTCTTCATTTTCCCCATTCCGTCCTCTAACCCTTTAGTTTGACTTCCTCCAAACCAGCCCCAGCTCTCCACATGTGGTCTTCGGGGAAGTCTCTATAATGAACCGAGGGGGTCACGGGGGCAGGGGGCCGGTGGAAGCATGAGCATGCGGAAATGTAGGTGCCTGGCCCCTCCCAGACGCAGCCACAGCGCCCACCTTGTTCGGTGTCCCTGGGCCAGGCCTTGATTCATTAATTCACTTTTGTGAACACAGACACACACCTTTTAGGGGTTATATAGAAATGGGATCACACTAGAAACAGTTCTTTTGCTGTAACTCACCACTTGGTCTGACACAGATTTCTTTCCACCACTGGGATATCTGGCTGTCACCATTCCTTTTTTTTTTTTTTTAGGTCAGGAATAAACTTTAACAGTATCATATTATCAAGTAATACTTTATTTTTTTTCTTTAAATTGTGGTAAAACACCTATATTTATATCTTTGCCATTTTAAGTGGATAGCAGCTTGAGGGTGTCAAAAGCTGCTCATTTGTGCCACCGTCTCCACCTTGTCTCTGGAACTCTGCGTCTTACCAAACTGAAACTCTGGCCCATTAAACCTAGTTCCCCTTTCTTTCGCCCCAGGCCTTAGCATGAACCATTCTAGTCTGCCTCTATACATTTGACTACTCTTGAGACTATATTGATCCTTCCATGACAGGGTTATTTCACTTAACATAGTGTCTTCATTGTTGTACATGTCAGAAATTTCTTCCTTTTAAGGGCTGAGTAATATTCCACACATCTACACCATATTTTATTTATCTATTTATTATGGATCCGTGGTTTGCTTCCACCTTTTGACTATCATGAATAAAGCCTCTTTGAACTTGGGTGTACAATGTTTACCAGAGCCCCTCCCCTTCAATTCTTTTGCATATCTACCCAGAAGTGGAAATGATGGGTCATACTGTCACTCTATTTTTAATTTTTTGAGTAATCCCATTCTTTTAAATAGTTGTATAAAGTTCCTTCACATGAAGAATATTCCTTGAATATGATCTATCCTTCTACTGAAAATGGGGCTGGGTTCCGGGAACACGATCTAATGGCAAACATTTCGGTTTTATCAGTTTTCCCCTATGTAAATAATGCTGTAATTAATTGCTGAAGGTATGTACATCTTTGTATAAATATGAATGTATTTCTGTGGGAAGCTTTCTCAAAAGGTGATGTTGGGTCCAAGTTGGGTACAATTAAAAGTATAACAGTGTTGTCATCAATATATTTGAGTGTCTGCTCGCTTCCCGGCCAATACTCAGAGCTATTAAGCTTTAAGATTGTTGTCCATAGGACATTTGTCCTCGATTTACGTTTCTTTTGTTACTGGTAAAACAAACTGTCTTTTCCAATATGAAACTGACTGTTGGTATTTCTTCTTGTGACTTTTTTCAATTGTCGCCATTAAGTATGTTCAGTCTTCAACTTGCTTGACCTGGCAGTTGCCCTTGCCACTGTTGCCAACTACAGAATTTTAGGCTTGAAGTGGTTTTCTGTTGGAATTCTGCAGACAATGTTCCACTGCTTTTAGAATCCACGGTTGCTATTGAAAAGGCTGCGGCCATGCTGGCTCCTGATACCTAGTACGTGTCCTGCTCTTTTCTGTCTGAAATCAGTGTCTAGGCTCTTCTGCTCACCCCTGATATTCTGAAATTTCATGACATCCCTTTCCCGGGTCTCTGCTCCCTTGTATTAATGCCCTTTACATCAAGAGACTCGAGTAGTTCAGTCTGGGAAACCTTGTGTGGTTTTTCTTAAGTCATTTCTTTTCCTTTGTCCTTTTTTGAACTTCTGTGGATGTTAGATCTCCTGGACTAATCCTCCACGTCTCTTTTTCTTCTTTCCCTCCTCCCCTCATTTTATTTCTCTTGATTTCAATGTATAACTCTTCTATTGGATTTTAAATATCCACCTCTGTAGTTTTCATTTCCCAGAGTGTTCTCGTGTTCTCTGATTGTCCAGTTATCATGGCATCCTCGGACGGATGCCAAGCAAGGAGGGTCAGGGGTGTATAAAGTGGCCTGGGCTCCTCACTGTGCCTTCCCCTCCCCCTGAGAGCCGCCTCTGAGGTCTCAAATGGCTCCTCCAGTCTGGACTCTGGTGCTGCTGGTGGGGGCTGCCTGGGGTCAGGGCCACCTGCCTGCCCCCGTTCGGTAAGCTGGGCTCAGGGGGGCTTCTAGAGGGGCTTGGAGGCAGGGGCACCGACAAGCTAGTGATGAAGTTCACAGCCCTGGAGAGGAAGACAGGCTGGGGAGAGGATGAGGAACAGGAACGGGGGAGCTCCATAGCCCTAGATCTGGGAGGTCACGGGTGTGAGAATAGCAGGAGATCAGGAGGAGGTGAGAGCTGGGGAGACAGGGGCAAGGGGAGCAGGGAAGAGGGAGAGGTCAGATCCTCAGAAAAGGGACAAACCCCAGGCAGACCCAGGGGTAGGAGAGACTTCACTGAAGGAGGAGGCAAGTGAAATGAGGGACAGCAGTTTGGTGGGCCGGCGGGGAGGGGTGGTCTGAACAAGCAGAACCTAAACTATTAGAAAAGAGGCTCTCTGTAGTCCACACACCGGGCGAGGGGGACCTGCTTCTTGGTGAAGAGGGGGTCCCTTTGTTACTCATCTGTGTATTCAATGGCATGTAGCTGGCACCCACTTGGCATCTTGGGGCCCATAGAAGCCCTGCTCTATGAGAAAAATTTGGGCTTTTGCACAGAAGACCTCAACTCAAGACCTTTAGCACAAGGAAGGAGACTCCTGAGGTTGTGAACTCGGAGGCATAAAACAGCCTCCACAGCCAGGGCACAGGCGGCTACCGGGACCCATGGAGATGTGAGGAGCTCTCAGGGGAGACACGTTTTAGGAGAGAAGTGAGCCCTGAGTTTTATGGTTCGAGATAATGATAGATATGACTTCCTTTCTCCTTTCTCCTTTCTCCAAATCAACTCCAAGGAAAGAGAAGCCTCCAGACTGGAAGAGAGTCGTTCGCAGTTCTAGGGACAGCTGTAAGTTGGCCCCTGGGGCCGCTCCGTTCTCTTTCCTTCTAGGGGTGGCCGCCACCGTGGCGACATCAGATTCAGGCAGTAACATGAACGTGTAACTCAAGCGTGAAGGGTGGTCATAGGGTCTGGAGGGCAGAGGGGACCGTGGGGATGCAAACTCTGCCTGAAAACTGCACAATGAAATCAACAAAGCCACACCACGGAGGGTGGCGCCCAGACTGAATCCTGTCACCCCATCTCACCTCAGTTTTCCACACCTCCCATAGTCACTCTGTGACCCTGGGTTTCTGCTAAGAAGTGACTCAGCTCGTTCCCAACATCTCTGCTTTGCACCCTTCATGGCTGCTTCCTCGAAGTTTAGCCATCCCACCACTCCAGCCCTCAGTTTGGCTCTGTGGGGCCTCCTGCCTCACAGCGACCCTTTCTTTATAGCCATTATCACCCAGTGTGATTTTGAGGATGATTCGAAACCCCTCTGCGATTGGACCCAAGAGTCCACAGATGACGGGGACTGGACTCGCGTCAGTGGGCCCTCTCCCAATGGTAGCACCGGACCCCCCGGCGGGTACCCTAATGGAGGTGAGGAAACTTAAAATTGGGGAGCGATGGGAAGGATCACGGGGCAGATGTGGGGGGCAGGAGGAAGGTGACTGGGGATGGATGCCTGGGCTCTGGGAAGGAGGTGGGGGTGCCTACTGGGGTGACAGGGCCTCACGATCCTGGGCTCTGCCTTCCACAGAGGGCTACTATCTCAACATGGATTCTAGCGCCTTCCAACCGGGTGGAGTCGCCAGACTGCGCAGCGGCCCCATATGGGAGAAAGGTCCCCTCTGTGTGCATTTCGTCTATCACATGTTTGGGTTGTCATGGGGCGCCCAGCTCAAACTGCTGTTGCTCATGGGCCCCAAGAGCACCCTGCTCTGGAAACACCTCAACACCCAAAGCCCCTCCTGGATGCCCACTGCTGTCACTGTGCCCAAGGGGCACATCCTGCCCAGCCGGGTGAGGCAGAGGGAAAAGCCTGGGCCCCGGTGGGAAGCTGGACCGGGGTGGGGTGAGAAAGGCTGGCCTTGCTGAATTCCAGCGCGAAGCTGGGAACCCAAGGCGGAGGGGTCACGTAGCCATATTCCCTCTTCCCTCCCGCAGCTGGTATTTGAAGGAGTGAGAGGCCACACTGCGTACCTGGACATTGCCCTGGACTCCATCTCTATCCACCGGGGCTCCTGCCATCAGCGTGAGTCCTGTACCCCCTCCTCTTTCCCCTTGTCTGCTCAGGGAGCAGGACCCTGCTTGCTCCAGAGCTAGGGATGCTTCTTCCCTCCACCTGCTCACCCCATACCTTTGACTCCAGAAGCAGCCACACCTCAGGAGAGGTTCTCTTTTAACATAGAATTGTGGTGGTACCTGTTTGTGAGTGATCCTTCCAGTTTGCTCTGGGTTGTCCCTATTTTACCACTGGAGGTCCTGCATCTTGGAAACCCTTGGGCAAACCTGGCTATTTTCTTACCCTGGCTGTTACCCCAGATAGACCGAAAATTAGCCCTCGTCCTGATGTTAGAGATGCAAGGGGAGAGGATTCAAAGGAAGGGAAATTCCAGAAGTTGGATGAGGGAAACTAAACCTCACTGAGCACAGGCAGGGTGCTAGATACTCCCCCAAACATGACAATTTATAGGGGGGTACTGTTATTCCTAGTCTATAGTTGTAGAAACTGAGCCTTGGGCAGGTTAAGTAATCTGTACCAGAAATATAGCTGCTGGGGGACGAGGTGGGGTCAGATCACTGGGATCTGATTCTAGACTGAGATGTATTTTTCTGAGCAGCCCCTTATAGGAAAGGGTAAACCCTGTTTTCTTTTCCTTTCAGTCTGCACAATGCAAGCATGTAACTTTGACACCCCAAATGATCTCTGTGGCTGGAGCTGGGTTCCGACGGCCTCTGGGGCCAAATGGATCCAAAAGAACGGGTCTTCAGGGGTGCCGAATGTGGGGCCCCAGGATGACTTCTCTAGCCCCGGGAGTAAGTAATGATCATGCTTCTACCCCTCCACTGTCTGGGCTTCTAGTGACCTCTGCAGGAATTTATGATGCTGGCCCACAATAACTCCCTGGAATAGTCCGGGTAACCTCTGCAACCTAAAGCCATCTGTCTGCTCAAGTTACAAGGCAGAAGCAAACTCCAGAAACCCAGCCTACGCCCTCCTGCCACCCATAACCTCTAACTGACAAATGGCAGGCCAGATCCAGCCTGCTCATTTCCTTCCCCTGGCATCTTGCATTCTTCATTCATTCATTCATCCAACTAATATTCCTGAACACCAACTCAATATACCAGGAATTTTTTTTAAGATTTATTTATTTATGCATACAGAACTGGGGTACAGGTCAGAGGTGCAGTGGTGGGGGAGAGGGGGGTGAGAGGATTCACCAGAGACAGGGTGGGGAGCAGAACAGACAGACTGACGAAGTACACTGCTGAAGGGAGCAGCGGGCGGGTCAGGAGAGGTCTGCTGCGCCATGTGGGTCACCTCTGGGGCAGGATGGAACTCATGCTAAAGTGGATTTAGCTTCTGAGTGCTGTGATTTAACTCACTATGTCACCAGGGAGGGCCTATTCCAGGAATTTTTAAAAAGATTTATTTATGCATGCAGAACTGGGGTACAGGCCAGTGGTGTGGGGGATGAGAGGATGCACCAGAGACAGAATGGGGAACAGAACAGGCAGATCTACTGAAATACACTGCTGAGGGGAGCAGCGGGTGAAACAGGAGAAGTCTTCTGCACCATGTGGGTCAGCTCCCTGGTGTGGGATCAAACTGATGCTGAAGCAGTGGCTGAAACTAGTTTGGCAGGGTCATAGTGCTGCACTTTAACCCATTGTGTCACCAGGGAGGGCCCAATAAACACATCTTTAAAAAATAATTTTTGAAAAAAATTAGATATGGAGCTATTTTCTTAATTTCTTTTATGTTTTGTACATTGTTTGGATATAAAAGGTTACAGACTTTTGCATGTTGATTTTGTAACCTGTCACTTTGCCATAGTCATCTATTGATTCTAATTACTTTTTGATAAAATCTTTATGATTTTCTCTGCATATAACTCCATTGTTCATGTGTTACTTCTATTAATTTTATTTGAAGATGCTGCTGGTTAGTATATGATGTGCTTTTTTGGGCCACTCATTGAACAGTTTAATCTTTCGTTTATTCTGATGGACCAAATTGCTTTCCTTCCTCCTCCTTCATATTATATGATTTATAAAGGTGTCTGCTACCTTTATATGTGTTGCTATGTTGCTTCAAAATAACCCCTTTCAACTTCTCATGTGTGACTTGGTGTTGATAAATTCTTTGCTTTTGTGTTTTTCTTTGAAGCTCCTTTTCCTCCCTTCTCTCTTGAAAGTTAATCTTGCAGGGTAAATGATTCTATGATAGAAATCTTTTCCTTTAAGTCCTTTAAATAGCTCCTTCCAATCCCTTCATGCTTGTAATGCTTGTAATGCTATTGAAAACTTTGCCGCCAGTCTGATTGTGCCCTTCCGGGTACTTTCTCTTGATGTTTTAACTATTCTGGTCTTTTCCTTACCTTCCAACAGTGTTATTGCAATGTACCTTGGTGTGTGTGTGTCTGGCATTATTTTGTTTGCAGCTCTTTGGCCTTCTTGGATCATGATGTCTGGTTCATTTCCCAAGTTTCCAGCAATTATTGCTTTGAATAAAATTTCCATGCCTTTCTCTTTCTTTTATTACCCCATTCTACAGATGTTATTTTGTCTTTATGTTATCCCAAAGGGCTCTTACACTGTTTTCATTTTTTCCTATGTTGTATTTGTGTGTAATCTGCCTTTGTGCTTTTAATTCTCTCCACTGCTTCCATTTGTCTGTTGTTAAAGCTCTCAATTGTATTTTGAAATTCAGTTATAGTATTTTCTAGCACTATTGCTTCTAATTATAACTGCTTAGTATTTTCTGTCTTTATTCTCTTGCTATATCACATCCTTGTTTTTTGAGTTCCATAATTGTTACTGTGAACTTCTCTTCAGTCATAGTCTGAAGTTCTTTTCTTTTTTTTTTAAAGGTCTATTTATTTATGAATATAAAACTGGGGTACAGGCCAGAGGTGCAGGGGCAGTGAGAGGATTCACCAGAGACAGATTGGGTAGCAGAGTAGGCAGATCGACAAAGTACACTGCTGAGGGGAGCAGTGGGGGGAGACAGGAGAGGTCTGCTGCGCCATGTGGGTCACCTCTTGCACTGAAGAGACTGTGGCCAGCTTGCATCCTAATTCATTGGGCCACCAGGGAGGGCCCATATTCTGAAGTTCTATTAGATCAAGACGCCTCTCAGGGTCTTTTTTCGCTGTAGTGTTTTCTTCTATCCCTTCATTTTTAGTTTTTAGAGGCTGTAATAGGAACAGATTTTCACACTGTTGCCTCTGAAGTAATCAGAGACTCAGTACAGCAAGGGATGGTGGGCGAAGAAGAATGTGGCCATATGAGCCTGGAGGGTCACCTTTAGTGAGCATCAGGGGTTCAAGCTGCCCACTGTGCTATGGTGTCAGAGTTGTATAGTGGGGATACTTGCTGATCCCCTTCACTAGCTACCCCTCAGTCTTAATCTCTCTTAAAGTCTTGCATCAGCTGCCACCGCTAGGGTATTTTGAGCACTAGGGGGCAGCACTGGTCACAGGGTGTGGTTGATATGGTTGGCAGAGGTTCTCTTTTCTTTTCCAGCATAAAGTTGTCCTGGAGTGTTTGCTCCTGTTATTAATAGGCACCTAAACCCTGGTATATGCTGTTGTTCATTTTCTTTTTATTTTTAAAGATTTATTTATTTGTGCATACAGAACTGGGATGTAGGCCAGAGGTGCAGAGTCAGTGAGAAGCTTCACCAGAGACAGAGTCGGGAGCAGAACAGGCAGATGGACGAAGTACACTGCTGAGGGGAGCAGCGGGTGGGTCGGGAGAGGTCTGCCTCGCCATGTGGATCACCTCCAGGGCAGGCGGGGATCGAACTCATGCGGAAGTGGCTTTAGCTTCTTGGTGCTGTGCTTTCACCGGATGCGCCACCAGGGAGGGCCCATTGTTCAATTTTTGTCTTGATTTTAACCCTGAGGTCGGGCTGGCAGGTGTTCTGAATTATAAGCACAGCCTTGGTCTTAGGCAATCCAGCCCACACAGGGATCCAACCTGCTTCCCCCCACTGGTTCAGGCTCCAGCTCTTCTCTACTGATGGCCATAGGCTCAAGCCAGTAATCCTTGCTCTGCGCCCCTGCTGCTGTAGCTGTCCAACTCCTCTCTCAGGAGAGGGTAACGCCCTCTCTGGTGTGTGCCAAGTCCATGCAGTGCAGTGCCAGATCTCAGAGTCCCTGATGTTGGCAGAGACTCTGCAGTTGGAACCGATAGGGGCTCTTTGCTGCAGCCACCCCTCCCCTTTCTGGGTTGTATTGCCCCAGTACCACGATGAACATAGTCCTCTTAAGCTTTGCCTATCCTTGTCTCCGTGTGCTGTGATCGTGCTTTTCCTTCAGGTGTCGGCTGCAGTCCAGTAGCTGGTGAAATGGCAAGGCGGGGCTTCACTCTGCCACCATCTTTCCAGACTATTAAAAATATCTCTCTGCCCTGTTCAAAGCCCACCACCTCTGCCTCTGGGGGGCTAGCTCACCCAATAGGAAGCTGCTGGGCTCCTGAAGCATGTGAGCTTAGTGGTTGTCTTAACTTCTCGTCCTTTTAGTGTTACACCCATCTTTTCTCACCATTTTGTGTGTGTGCATCATTCATGTATAATAGATTAAAAAAAAAAAAGGAAAATGATGTGACTGTGATTTCGAGAAAGAAAGAAAAAAATGTAGGAACCTAAGAGATAAGTTTCTGGCTGCTTCTCCCACGAGGATGCCTCATTTCATCCTGCAAAGCCCAATCCTTACCCAGTCATGCACTTCTGGAAGGATCCAAGGCCCCAGCCAGTCATGAAACTGGTGCAGGCCCATCTCAGCGCTGGTTGATCCTACACAACTGTGGGGGCTCCCTGGGGCTAGGCCTCTGCTCTCGCAGGGTGCTGTCCCTGTGCCGTTTTCTCCATCCTTCCCCAATTCCAGCCACTTCCCCAATGCCTTTCCCTTCATAGATGGCTTCTACATGCTCCTGGACCCCAAGAATGCAAAACCAAACCAGAAGTCTGTCCTCCTGAGCCCCCTGAGTCAGTCCTCTGGCTGCCTGAGCCTGTCCTTCCACTACGTCCTCCGTGGCCAGTCTCCTGGTGGCGCACTCATCATCTACGCTTCAGTCTTAGGTGAAGGTGGACTTACACTAACCTGACGCTCATGGCCAGAGGTTGGATTGATGGGGCATTGTGGGACATCTCTCAGGGCCCAGGGAAATCTGGAGTATGGATGAGATTCTTCCCTGGAGTGGAATCAGGCCTTTGGGAGGGTCCTGGATTCTGGAAAAATAGATAGAAGTGCCTGTAGAGTGAGAGCGGAGGGTGTGTTTGTACCGGGGAGAGGTGAATATCAACTGAGTACTATGCTGAGTACAGGTTGGGAGTTGTGGTTCAGTCCTCGGAATCTCACTTGACTCTTGGATTCCTTTCCCTGCAGGCAATATCCGGAAACACACACTCTTCTCAGGGCAACCTGCACCCAACTGGCAGCCTGTTTCTGTCAATTACACAGGCCAGGGGCAGATTCAGGTACAGTGGAAAGAGAGGTCAGGTTTCCTTGCAGAGGCAGCCACCCCAAGTATTGAAATGGGCAGAGGGTCTGGGTACTGGGAGGAGGGGCTGAGGGGCTGAGTAGAGCGTCTCAGCTTCTACTTTGCGTTTGCACTCCCAGCACCCACCCCGCCCCTCTCTCTCTCCAGTTTACCATGGTGGGCGTGTTCGGAGAGACTCCGGAGCCTGCCGTGGCAGTGGATGCAGTCAGCATTGCTCCCTGTGGGGGTGAGAGCCCGGCCCTGGGGGGACACAGCTCTCTCAGGACTGGGGAGGGGTGGAGGCGGGATAGAGAGCGTAGCCAAACGTTCTCAGATCTCCCATTCTGGTCCCCTAGAGAGCTTTCCTCAGTGCGACTTTGAAGATGATGCCCATCCCTTCTGTGACTGGACCCAGACACTGGGTCACGGCGGACAGTGGGTGCGGAGAAGTAAAAATATGCTCACCCAGGGCATAGGAACCATTGGAGTTCCCCTGAACACAGGTGAGGAGACTGAGGACCCCGCACCCCAACAAATTACAGATCTTCTCCCATTGGTGTGATGGAGGAAGGAGGCATCATAGGAGATGAGTCAGCCAAGGTGGGGCCAGAGGCTGCGTGCAGCTGAGGACCCACGACTGGGGGGGTACTGACACCCTGGGGACACCCAGGCCTCTCACATACTTGACCCCCAGGCTTCAAACCCACTGTCTCAAATTTAGTTGGCATTTACAAGCATAGCCAGAGGGCTTTACAGAGGCATCTGCTTCCGGTTGGTTTTCACTTTCTCTCTGATCCTGCTTTTTTAAGTTAGAAGCCCAAAATGAGTGGAGAGAAAAACGCTATGCTATGGGGGTCAGGGTGTTTGCCTCCATTCTTCTTTGGTAGGCAGAGTGTTGCTAATGCTTGTCCTACGGACTTGTCCTCTGGTGGTTTCTCACTTTGGCCATTCCCTCCTTTTGCCCAGTGGGTCACTTTATCTACCTGGAGGCTGATAAGTCCTCCCAGGCAGGCCAGTCTTTCAGACTGGTGAGCCGGCCCTTCTGTGCTCCGGACACACTCTGCGTGGAGCTTACCTACCACATGTACGGCTTTGGAAGTGGCAGTGGTCTGAAACTGCTGCTGGACGGTCCTGCGGGCAGTTCTCCCACTTCTCTCTGGCACCGGATTGGTTCTCAGAGCCATGACTGGCTAAACACCTCCATCACCATCCCTGAGGGACATCAACAGCCCATGCAGGTTAGAGGCTCTTTGTGTGGGAATAATGTCGGGGCCTGGGGGGTGGTGCAGGGTTGAGGAGTTGGGGACTGGAGAGGGAGAAGAGCAGAGGTGGGCTTGGCATGGCCGGAAGGACGTCAGGCACCTGGAGATGGGCACCTGCAGAGTGGGGCTACTGAGGCCAGAGCCAGGTGACATCCTGGCTGCGGACTGTCTCTGTGCCCAGCAGGGCCACCTTGATGCTTCACCTCGTACCCACTGTCGCTTCCTCATCCTTTTCTCCCTTGTTACCTTCAGCTGGTACTTGAGGCCACAAGGGGTTCCAACACTGCCTTCGTCATTGCTGTGGGCTTCATCTTGGTCAATAACGGGGCCTGTCGAGGTAAGACAAGCCTAAGGCTCAACAAGAGCCATGCTTGGGATGGGCACGGCTGGGCTGTCAGCATGTGCTGTTTCAATTGCAAGTCCTCTCCCACCTTGGTCTCCCTAACTTTGTTTTCTATGTTCTCCCCATTTCTATCTTCCCGGCCCTATCAGAAGGTTGACTTGAAAGGATGTGGCTTTGAAGCCATACATTTCTGTGGCTGCATCCAAAATACCTTACCTAGTGAACCGAGACACCGAAAAGAGGACTTGCAGTCTACTCATCTTGTGTATTACCAGCATATTATCTGACCTGTACACATAGTTTTGAATGATGTTGGGGCTGGGAATAGAGAGGAGTAAGCATAAGTCACCTCTTTGGAACCAGGTGTTAATTATCTGTGAGTGAAGAGGATGACAGTATGATTCTAAGTAGCAGCTGGCTTTGTTGTTTGTTTTCCTTTGCAGGGCCTATGCCAGCAGAACTTCCTTCCCAATCTCCAGTTTCCATTCCAGGCCCTTCTGAAATCCCTGTATCCACAGAAAAACCTATGACCCCCACAAAAGAACCCAGGGTCCCCAGTGAAACATCTGTCATTGCAACAGAGAATCCCAAGGTCTCAATAACATGCACCATCCTCACAGAACAAACTACAGCACACACAGAAATTTCTACTACCCACCCAGAAACATATATCCCCCCCACAGAAGGACATACACCCCCCCCAGAAATGCTTGCCCAACCACCTGAAAAGAGCACCCAGGCCCCTGCAGAGCAAACCCAATCCCAAGAGGTCCCCACGCTCCAACCTGGAGAGCAGGCCCACCCCACTGAGCACCCCACTACTGCCCCTGGGGAGCAAACCCACAGCCCAGAGAACTCCATCATAACCCCTGGAGACCATGCCATTTCGCTTGGACATCCCACCATCAATCTTGTGGAGCAAGCTCACCCCCCTGAGCACCCCACTGTCCCCCCTGGAGAGCAAGCCCACACCCCTGAGCACCCCACCATTGCCCCTGGAGAGCAAGCCCACCCCCCTGAGCACCCCACCATTGCCACTGAGGAGCAAGCCCACCCCCCTGAGCACCCCACTGTCCCCACTGGAGAGCAA